TAGAGTCCCTAGACTCTGGTGGTGTCACATTGGTTTTCCTGTTGTTGGATGTGTTCCTATATTGTTGTCTTCCCATCTCTTCTTCCAGTGGGTACAGGTGGTGTCACTTCCTTTCCTGATGTGTATGGGTCCAGTGTTCTCTTCAGGTGTGTGCAATTGGCTGCGACATTCTGATGGGTCTCAAGTTGGGTGCAGGCAGGTCTGAGGCACTTGCTCTCCAGGTGGGTGAGAGTAGCACTGGTGCAGAGATGTCAGCAGACTCCGGGTTGCCTGGTCCTCAGGGGTCCAGTTGTCCTGTCTGCAGACCCCGGGGCGCGATTAGCCTGGGTGGGCAGGCAAAAATTGGGCCCAAGGCAGGGGCCAAAGCAGCTCACCTCTGTACTCTGCACTCTGTGAGAGCCGGAATAGCCCAGTGATGTAAGCAGAGTCAGGGTCCCAGGGTCCTCAGGGACTGATTCAGTCTGCCTGCAGACCCCAGGGAGGGATTTGCCAGGGTGGGCAGGTGGAAGTTGGGCCCAAAGATCTCAGCAGAGTCAGGATCCCAGGGTCCTCAGGGACCGATTCAGTCTGCCTGCAGTCCTATATTGTACTTTGAAAGCAGCCTGCTTGCTAGTGCAAGCTTGCACTGACATTACTCAGAAGGTTGAAGCAGGAGAATCCCAAGTTCAAGATCTGCCTGGCTATGTAGCAAGATACTGTGCTGTAAGTCACCCAGTCATCTTCCTGTGGCTAATGAAGTCATGGATCTTAGGGAACCTACAACTGCCACTTTACTAAACCAGCATAATCTCTAACTTCACTCTAGATATTTACACTTATAATATACATATACATATATATCAAAGAGTCTTTTCTTTGTAAAACACAGAGACCATTACAGAAAACTACAACCAATCAAAATGCAGAGGTATGGAGCCTGGTCCAAGCTGATACATCTACAACACAACTACACCTAAGACTCAGGGATCATCCTAGAAGACAGGGTATAAAGATGATAAGAGCCAGATGATCACAGAGTTTTCTGTGCTAATGTGTCTCCTAGAAATATTGGAGAGCTACACCCATCAAGTCTACCAACATGACTGCCTAAACATGACCCAAACAAAAATGACACCAACAGATATGTTAAAGTGGGAGGGGGAACTTCATGAGGCCTTAAACCTGGAGGAAGAACTACAGGAAACTAAGGAATGCTGAGAAAGGGAGAAATAGTCTTCCTCTGGGGAGAGGACACTGGCTGCTTATTCAGTACCAAATGGGCAGCCCTGAAAACATATCCATACAAGTAACAGTATACAGACCAAGCAGGATCTATTATAAATTTAGTACACACACACACACACACACACACACACACACACACACACACACACACACACACACACACACCAATGGAAGAAAAAGAAAATCTGAAAGAAAGCAGGGGAGATACATAAAAGGGGATGGAGGAAGAAAAGGGCAGGAATGATACGATTATGCTATAATCTCAAAAAAAAGCTATAAAAAACTATTTGATTAAATAGACAAATAAATCATGCTGACAGTGATGTTATGTTGTTGGGGGCTGGATCATACTGTTCTTTCTTAAGTAGGATTATGGTGCATTTTGACAGGAGATTAAATTTTCCCCTTTTTGTCAGGATGCTAAATTTCTGGGAAATGAGAATCTGGGAAATCAGTTCTATCCTTTGAAGGCTTTAGAAACAGGCTTGTTTAAAACTTTTAAATGAAGTTTCTAATACACATAAGCATGGGCTCACATTACTTTTAAAACTGTGTTCAGTGTAATGAATCCTTCCTCTGTGACTGTCACCCTCTGCCTGCTCCTCTACTTTCCCTGTGACTGTCTCCTTCTGCCTGCTCCTCTAAAACTTGTCCTCACTTTGTTGGGAATAGAAAAAAAACATATTTTGAAGAGCTGAGTTAGACAGAGCAATCTTGGCCTCCTGAGTGTACAAGTGAGTGTCCCTAGAGAGTACCACAATAACCTGTTCTTGCTGCTCAGAGCCTAAAGACTGCCAGGCCCACTCAAGCTCTCTTGCAGATCTCACCAGGCATGATACCCAAACACAAGGGCAGATTGGTATGTAACAGGCCTGTTATTTATTTCTGCAGCTCTCTTGCTTAGAATGTCCCCCTGTATAACAGTCCCACATACAACTTTCAACTACTTTCCCCTTAAACTGTGTTTATTAGATTTCCCCCTTTTAATTAAATTTTTTTAAAATCATTATTCTCCCCCCACCCTGCCCCTTCCTTTAGCCATATGGTCTTATACAGTCTGGGCTAGCTTCAAACTCATTATTTAGTTGAGGATGTTTTGAACTTCTGATCTTCCCTATCCTCCTGGGATTACAGACATATTTCAACACTTCTAGGTTATATGGTGCTGGGGATTGAACCCAGGGCTCTGCTTATAGTGGGCAAGGACTCTACCAACCAAGTTACTTCCTCGGCCCCTATCCTCAGGACTGGGACTGAGCCTGGAGTAGGTTATGTCTAGGAAGATGAGGATTAGGGAAATGCTTAAGAGGGAGAATCTTTCAGGAGCTTTGGCAAAAGATATGGTTAGGTCAACTGTGGACATGTCGGTACACTGAGCATAGCCTGTGCCAAATGCAGGAACATTGAGCAGGACAGGCTTTCTACTGGTGAGACTCTGAAGCTCAGGTAACATAGAATCCAGTCTATGACTCCCCTGCATGCACAAATACCTTTGTGGCCACCCCACCCTCAACTCTGCAATCCTGAATAAGGTGAGGGCCCAAAACGGGAAACTGCTACTGTGGCCAGCATACAGAAGAGCCTCACTTGTCTGTGCTGAGAATATCAGGACCTGAGGGATATGAATGGTTCCCCTACTTACCTGCAACTTATTTTAATGTGTGTATCAATTGCAGAACATTGGCAACATGTAAACATGTTGTCAGGCATTAGATGACCATTTCCATGCCTGCCATACTAGCCCTAAACACCTTCCTGGAATTTTTTTTTTCAAGGAAGGAAACTAAGGCCAGAGAGAGGAAATAATTTATTCAAGTTGCTTTCCTTCCTTAATAGCCACTTTGTTTCACTAAAAAGGCATCTTGCAATTTGCCATCTTCAGGAAACTTACGTTGTAATGACATTTTTCGGTAGCACCATTGAAGAGTGTTACACTACTGTTTCCCTGTGGTACACTAGGCCCTGTACAGCACATTCTCCCCACCTCACAGCACAAGCACTCAGGAGTCAGAGCTCACACAGTTTACCCACCACATCATTTGGGAGGCTCTGGAGGTCATCAAAAGGGGTTTCCAGGGTGTTGGTATCCACGTTCAAGATCACGACATCATCTAGGGCCATATTTCTGACTTTCTGCAAGTAAAAAAAAATCCAGAGTCACTGGAACTGTCATCAGGACACAGGTTACTTCCCCTCAGCCTTCTTTTAAATTAAAAAAAAAATTTGAGACAGGGTTTCCCTGTGTAGCTTTGGAGCCTGTCCTGGAACTAGCTCTTGCAGACCAGGTTGGTCTCGAACTCACAGAGTGAGTGGTGGGATTTAATCCCCAAGTAGTGGGATTAAAGGCATGTGCCATCACCACCTGGCTCCTCTTAGCCTTCTTTAGGGAAGAAGAATAGCCATTGGATAAAGGCTTAATCTGCTACAGCCCCAGAGATACATGGCTCACCTCTGTTATTCATTTAACTGTCACAAAAATTCTCCAACTTGCATGACCACCCTCTAAATTTCAAGACTGAAAACCATTTCACAGAGGCTAGATAACATGCCCTGGGTCAAACAGTTAGGAAAATGACACTCTGTTGTTATTTTCTTTATCTGTATCTATATATCTACATATTTGTGATGCTGAAAACATTGCCTGACATTATGACCCTAGCTTCTACAGAAGATTATAGTACTTAAATGAACATTTTAAGGCTCTTTCTAGCATGAGGATGACCTATGCTGGTCAGAGCCTCTTATAGTTAATAAAAACGTATCAGGAAACAGATTCCTAGAATCTTTCCATGTAATGGCCAGTCTCTTACTTCTGCTACTGACATTTCCAGGGGCTAAGGGACAGTCCCCAAACCTATGGATCATCTTGTAAGTACCTACTAAGTACTTTCCACTGGTAGAATACCAGAGGGGTCCAACAAGACTCTTGACTAATGCATTTCCTTTCTCTTCTGAAACCCACCATTTCATTAACGTTATTTGCAGGCTGGGTGCAACTGAAAAAGTATTGGTAATAACACAGCTGCTGAGCATTGTGTAGAACTGTGTCTTAACACCCACACGCCCTATTTGCAGAGGAGAACACTGTGGAGTTCGGGACTTATCAGCCTTGCTGAACCCCAGCCGAAAGTCAACTACAATCATCTCTTCCACTAAGGCCACACACATTTCAGAACTCAGAATAATAGTCTGTCCTACTGGTGTTTTCTCTCCCACTAGGAGCTGGAAGAAGTGATGTTTACCATCCATTTCAGAGACAGGAAATGGAGGCTCTGTGAAGTGAGAATCTTGCCCTAGGTGGCACAGCTCCATTTATGAAATGGAATAGATATATACCTCACTTCCTACCAGTTCCTCTAGTCCAGTGGCTTTCAACCTTCCTAATGCTGTGGCCCTTTTAATATAGTTCTTCATGTTGGGGTGACCCCAATCATAAAATTATTGTCATTACTACTTCATAACTGTAATTTTTCTACTGCTAGAAATCATAAATTAAATATTTTGAGGTAGAAGTTTGTTAAAGGGGTCATGGCTCACAGGTTGCTATGAAGATCAGAGGTCATATATGCCCAGAGCTAGGCACTCAGTAGGTCTTAATACATGGTGGCTATTACTATTACTATTTTTTTTTTTTTGAGGCAGGATTTCTCTGTGTAGTCCTGGCTGTCCTGGAACTCGCTCTGTAGAGCAGGCTGGCCTCAATCATTACTTTTCAATATGTGCTGTCAGAAAAGCTGCAGTGGCAATGGCCTCTTGGTGGCAACAGCTTGGCTCTCACTTCAAGGGCTGATGATTGTCATCAGTGGCAAAATTAGAGTGGTGATGAGGGATGCTACGCTATGGGTACTGAACTGAGGACCACTGCACCCCAGCATCTCTTGCCTTGCCTCATCTGATCCAATATCTCCAAACAGAAGGGGCAGGAAGAAACAACCACTGGAGAGCAGTCCTGGGGCTGAAAGGTCCTGTGAGTGGGTGCTGAGTATGGATCAGAATTAGGCCTTGTTTCTGTGTTCCCAGAGCTGCCCCAGTAGCACAGACCAGCCCTTGTGGGCTCTCTGAGGCTGGCTGGGACAGGCTTTTGATTTCCTTCCACTCCTGGCTGGAGGATTTGCCCGTTAAGCTGTGTGGAGTGTTTACTTTTTCAACAATGGCAACAGGCTGAAGAAGATGAAAAACCCTGGCCTCCTTTCCCAACTTAGCAGGCCAGGGTCCCCTTAGTAACCGAATTGTCCCCATTACTGGGCTCCAGGCAGGAGTTGGTTCTTCAGTTTCCTCTCGTGGGACAATGCTGCCCTGCCAGTGGTAAGGCCTCTTCTAAAGGGGCTGGCGTGGGCTCAAGGGGCTTCCTGAAGCTCAGAGTTCCCAAGGAAAGAATCACAGGCAGCTTGGCTGGAGGATGTGCTCTCCCCAAAGGCTCGGGGTTTGAGGTAGGAGTTCTGGGAGAGAAGATAGCTCCTGAGTGCTAGCTCATTTCTCTTCAGCATCATACTGGTGAGAACCTAGTATCTTCAAGGCAAAGTTGGAGGCTCAAAGACTAAGCAAATTTTGTAGTGCAATACAGCTAGGGAGGGCTGTGGAAAAGAGTCTGACTCCAACACCCATCTAAAGAGACTTCCAGATCCATGTGCTCAGCATTTACAATGAGTAGCTATGCAGGCAGGCTGTCACAGCGGACTCTCTCAGGGCCCACTTTCTCTTGTGCAAGAACACACTTGCTTTTTGTAACATAAACATTACATACACCTACTATGCAGAAATGGAAAGACCCAAAGTTCAAAGAAGCTTTCTGTTTGGCGCCATCATTCTAAATTATTTTCCTTTGCGTTCCCTCCTCCCTACCACTGTTCTAAATCCTTCACAGTACTCTTGCCTCTTTTGATTTTTCTCATTGATTGCAGCATAAGCAATGCTCCACTTCATTAAAAGCTAAGTGACAGCTACTAATTGTTCCAGACTGTTCTGTTACATGGAGACAAACTCAACCAAGGCAAGTTGGCTGAACATTACTTCAAGCATTTAAGATATTAATATATATGACATGGTCATGAAGTCTGAAGTCTGGAAGCTCTGTGCTTCAGGACAGATTCCTAGAAGTGGATTTTAGTTTCTAGTCCTTAAGAAATGTCCCTGGTGAATTCAACTTGGAGAGATATCTTTTCTTCCAATTATTTTAAAGCCATTTTATCCACAGCTTGTGTTTCCTACTCTAAGTGAAGAAAAATCAGCAAAGACATGAGCAGATGTCAAAATAGTCCTCCAAAAATCCTACCCAATTAGAACACTTACGAATACCGCAGCACACCGAGACAGCTCTCCGGTAGCTTGTCCCACCAACACATTCCCTCTCTTTTTAGTTACAGCATATGCCAAGGCTCCTGCCAGCTGCAAACCCCTCCCCCACCAGACTCCATAGGCTTCTCCTCAGAAGGGGGGGTGGAGGGGCACAAAACAACACTGACATATACACCAGCTTTCAAAATGGTATTTCTTACACAGAGACACAAAAACCGGCAGCATCCCATCAATACTGCCCATGGAAATAGTAAAATGTCTTTCCTGCGTGCTTTGTCAGTCTTAGTTTGACCTGTCTTTGGGATGGGAAAGGGACAACTTACAGCATATGAGATGCTCAGAAGCAGCTGAGGGGACACTACTTTCCTAAGAGTTACCTCTAGCTCATCCATACCATGTAGGTAGTCTTAAGCACTGCACTAGACATCATGAATCCTCCGGGTTCCCAGTTGAGAAAAAAGAAGGGGGACAATACCAGCCCTATCCTCACTATGTCAACTAAACACAGCTAGAGCCACTGGAGAGGACTGACTTTCAATTAAGAAAATGACTCTATAGGCTCGAGCTGCAGGCAAACCTGTAAGGCATTTTTTTATTTAGTGATTATGGGGGAGGGCCCAGCCCATTGTGACTGGGATAACCCTGGACAGGTGGTCCTGGGTCCTGTAAGAAAGCACGCTGAGCAAGCCTTGATGAATAGGCCAGTAAGCAGCATCCCTCCATGGCCTCTCCATCAGTTACTACCTCCAGGTTCTGCCCAGTTTGAGTTCCTGTCCTAAATCCCTTTGACAGTGAACTGTGATATGCAAGTATAAGCCAACTAAACTCTCCCCCCGCCACACCACCACTTGCTTTTTGGTCATGGTGTTTAGTTGCAGCAAAAGAAACCCTGACTAAGACACTCACTGTGGTATTTAGAGATGCTAATGTGTGGTAAAGAGTTTCTGCATTATTTCCGGAACTTGGCCACTCTGGGCTCAGGCATGCTGAGAGCCTGCTACAATAGTGTTGTTTCTAGGATCTGGGCTTCGCACAACTAGAACAACACACCTAGGTTACCTTATGTAGTAATAACTTACTTACTGATCATTTTCCCTGTCTCTGGGTTTCCTACTTTAGTTCCTCCCCCAATATTTGGCTTACAGCTGACAATTCAAGTGAATGAAGGAGGGGGATGGGGGGAGAGAATGAACAGAACCCAAAGGTGAGCAGCACAGATTCTACATCTGGTCTGAATTCTACCTAACCACACCAGCCATACTAACCTGGGCAAGTCAATCTTCCCATGCCTGTTTCCTTTCTTTTGGGTTCAGATAACAGACACTCTACTATTAGTTTGCTATGAGTATTAAATGGGCTAAGATTTTAAAAGTGTTTAAATAGTGCCTGGCTCACAGGAAGTGCAAGGTAGGTGTTTGTTAAGTAAAAAGTAATGCTCTTTTGGGGATGATAGGAATGTGCCAAATCATTGTGGTAGTGGCTTCAAAATTGTCAACATTCATTGAACCATATACTTCCAATGGCTGGTTTGTTGTTGTAGTTAATAAAGCCATCAGAAGGATGTCTAGAACGTAGAATAAACTCACAGTAGACCTGGAAAGTTAGGTCCATGACTGTAAAGAAGTGTTCAGGATGAGGGGGTTCTTCCCAGGGCTACCCTGAAGACCTTCAACTCTGCATGCCCTTCATGTCAACATGAGAGCTTTTAAAAATGTTTGAGTCTGTGCCCTCTTAGTGTATGCCTAAACACCTAATGTCCTGGAAGGGGACTGGGCAGTTATTAAAAAGGCAGGACTCACTGCAAGGCCATAAAATGAAGAGGAAATGATGGCTCCACA